TCTTCATTTTGGGCCTGGGAGGTTGCCATGGTAACCGTGCTTCTAGCGACGCCGGACGGCAACCTTTGTAGTCTAGTTGATATCTCCATTCGTTCACTGAAAAGTGGTATAAGACGCTTGGCGTCGCGGTACGGCAAGAACCTCTGGAGGAACGGTGCCTGTTTTTTTTCTGAAAAGTGAGACGATTTGCCCCCAGGAACTGTCAGGCGACGAGAGCTGCTATGGTATCGTACGTGCACGGACAAGGCGAGTGGTTTTCGGCGCCGCCGGGATGGCGGCGGCTTCGTGGGACGAACGTACCGTCCTAGTACTTTCGGACTTCGCTCCGATGGAACAAAACCCGATTACGCCGGCCGCGACAGGACGATTGGCTCGGAACATGGCTGCTGCTCGACTGCCCCATAGTGAGGGAGTATATGTTTAGCATCATACTTCTTCAAGTCCCGATCATCCCTTCAAGCTGAGATTTTCTCACCGACTGGTGAGGAGCGACGTCGACGGGGTTCAACCAAGAAGGGCGGCATGGTGGTCTCTAGGGAATTGTTGACGCCATCAAAAGAGACGGACGCCGGATATGAGGTGTTCTTGCCGACAGGCCAAATGGTCGTTCGGACGTTTAAAGGCATTCAAAAAGTCAATATTTTTATCTGGTGTAGCACACATATCCGTGTTAAAGGGGCCACGAAATTATTTTTAAACTTCTTCCTTACCTGTAATCCTCAACTCAGAAGAGAACTGTGAAATCACGCAGTCGTGACATGCTAGGGCACCGGTGCGATGACCCCAAGCTTTCACCGTGCTTTTTAAGCACACCGTAGAACTTGGCATTCGCAAGTAATGATAAGTTTCGCCCGGCCACTCATTCGCCAGAAACGCGAATTCAAATATCCATGGACGAATTGATTGCTGACGAGCGCATACATCCGAGCGACGCAGTGTTCGTGTCCAATGCGTGAGTTGGGGTCGGCTGACGTCATTTTGGCCTTTGTAGGCATTGTAAAGAGGATATTTAGAACCATACACACATGGTGATAACGCCATAGCCCACTGACATTAAGGAGCACAAAACGGGCCCAGCTACAGAAAATAAATATTACACTCGTAAGAAATAAATACGTCTGTAACTTGTTAATTACAAAGACGAACACACCTCTGAGCATGTAAGTTTAATAGTATGTGTTGATGCATTGTCATATAGCAGGACATTTTTTATACGTCACTTGAGCAAACGCCAGCTTTTCACTTGAGAAACAAACGAAAAAACACTGCGATCAAATGCAAGCTATTGCAACGAAAGCAAGTTATATCGAAATCTTCAGAACTGCCAATTCGTAGAATTGGCGATTAGTAAAAAAAGGTTAAAGATCGCAGGAGCTTCCTCGCTAAAAAATGCTGCGATTATTCGGTGACCCAGGGCTGAAACAATTTCCCCAAGGCCCCACACGCGCTGTATACCTTTCGTTGTGATTCTCAGAAATTCAGACTTTCACAGGAAGCCAGAAAAATGCGAAAATTTTATCCTAAAAGCCATGTGGAGCGCAAGTTCGTCTGCTTCTTTTTGCAGGGGTTGTGGTGACGTCAGAACGCCGAGATCTGAGTGGTTCCGATTGAAGGATAGTGGGTAGACCTAAAAGCAAGCTGCCTTGACGTCTACCCACTATTCTTTATTCAGAACCAATCAGAGCTCGGCATTCTGATGTCCCCACAACCCCTACTAAAAGAAGCAGACGAACTTGCTCTGCGTAAAATCGTTGATTAGTATACTTGGGAGTTGTGTGAATATTTATACAGCGTGTACTTGGTCAGCCATTTCAAAGTTGCGACGAGTCAATCGCTGTAGATGAGCAATTTAGCCAATGCAGTATAACCGCTAGCTCCATAGGTCTTTAACGTGCATCACGCGGTAGTGATACACAACCGCAGGCCGGTACGATGCTCATCCAGATCGAAACGGGCAGGGGTGGGAATTGAACCCAGGTTCCCTTGGTGATTAGTACAACACGTAAACATTGCAAGAGCTTCCTCGCTAAAAGTTTGTGATCATGCGGTTACCTGGGGCAAAAACAAATTCTCCAAGTCCCAACATGCGACGCATAGATTTCGGATCGATTCTCAGACACTCCAACGTTCAAATAAAGCTAAGAGAATTCGAAAATTGCATGCTAAATGTCTTATCGATCCTCAAACACATCCGGAAACCCGAGCACCGCTAAGGCGATATTAATGATGCTGTCGCACAGGTGCTAATATCTAGAGCGATTTTGCACAGAAAAGGTATGAAGTATCATTCTTTCAGATCTTCACGTTATGCCTACGTCAGAAAGCACGAAGAAGCCCTAAATCGTCGGCAAGCTGCGGCACATCACGACTCCGCGCACCGAACAAACTCGCATCCACCAGCTCTGGGCGCTGCCATCTTACCGATAACATCACGGCTCTTGAGAGGTCACGTGACGACTCGTCACTCGGTTTCTACGGAAACCGAGCCAGCTTAGCTCGTTGCTATGGTACCGCGTGTGACCAATCGCGGTGAGAGGCGGCACAGGGAAAAGCGTGGCGCTACTCTGGCAGCTACGCTGCCATATCGAGTGGCTCTAGTGGGACCCAATTATACTCGCACGCAACGAAGCTGACCAGTAAACCTCTTTGTTCCGGTGTAGTTTTAAGGACAAAAGCGAGCGTTTTCGTACTAGCAAAAGGAGAGATTGAGCGTTTTCGCTCAATCTCTCCCTTTCAATACTTAATGACGTAGCGTGGGGGTCGCAGTATCCCCCGTGACGATATCTGAATCCGGCTCAGAGATTGGACCCGAGCATTGCGTCAGCACTCGATTTGGGCTAGTGATAATCAATAGCTCGACAAGCATTTGGGTAGTGTCCAGTGCCCAAACGCTGCAATGACGACAATAGCCAACCCAGAGCCAGTAAATGAGCTGCGCTAGACCCACTAAATGAGCTGCGCATAGAGTATCGGCACTTTGTTCCCCGACATTGTTGTGGGCGCCGCCATTTTGGCTCGTATGCAGAGCAGACGCAACTGCCGACCGTCATGATTCAAAAGTGCGACTTCCTCAGCATAATATTCAGTGTTAGGAAGGTCATGTAATATTGCGTTGCTCGTTCGCGAAGTGTTTAAACATTTGTGCAAGGCAGAAAAGCTTTTCCTGTAATTTCAAAAAGCTTCAGATAACTGGCAACCATGATATTAAGACACAATATGGCCAAGTGTCGTTACTCTGAAGCGTAGCTTATTTAGTGGCACTAAGCTGCGCTTAGAGTATCGGCACTCCGTTCCCTCACATTTGTGCGGACGCCGCCATTTTGGCTGGTATGCAGAGCAGACACAACAGCCAGTCGTCATGATTCAAATGTGCGACTTCCTCAGTATTAGAATCGGTGTTAGGAAGCTCATGTAATGTTGCTTTTCTCTGTCGCTAACTGTTTAAACATTTGTGGAAGGCAAAAAGCGTTTCCTGTGATTTCAGATAAAGCTTCAGATAACTGGCAACGATAATTTTACGACACAATATTTTCGAGTGTCGTTACTCTGAAGCGTAGCTTATTTAGTGGCCATAAGTCAACCCTTAGGCCAACCTCATGGCGTAAGAGTGATCAACAACGGTTTTAGATTACGTTGCTGCTTATTCTGGCTGCAGGTAAGGGGGGGGGGGGGGGAGGGGGTGAACGCTGCTCGTTTTTCTTTGACTTTCTTCTGCGACGCGAAGCGTGAGGAGAGGAACGAACGCGTGTTTCATCGGCCATAAACGTCTGGGATTCGTTCAAAGCGATTTTCGAGCAAAGTACAAAAGTCGTTGCATCGCGCGTTTAAGCTCCTGTAAATATGGTAAATTAAAACAACTATCTAGAGGAGACGGCCTCTACGCGTTGATTTAGGGTCGATACGTTGTTGATGAATCAATGATTTTAAGGACGTGATGCATTTTTGCGTCAGACTTAACAGGGGATCTAAATTGCTGCATAGGTCACGTGAAATATTTCGTTAAATATAGCGGGGAAACCAAATCGGTACTTAGGTCACGTGACGTAGTTTGTTCCGCTAAATTTTGCGGAAAACTAAAATGTTCATGTGGTTCCCGTGACGTCAAATCACGGGAGATCAATTTTCTTGCCAAATATAGCGGGGAAATTGAATTGATGCATAGATTATGTGACATCAATTTTCTCTCCAAATTTAACGGGGAAACCTGCCGGCGTTCATGCTCACGCCGTCGAAACACTGGGGAAAGGGACACAAACAACCGTCGCTGCAAAATAAATTCCATGTCATGGGCAGCACTCGGGTAGGGTTTCTCTTGGCGACTGGTGACAATATTGTTGCCCAAAATTTTGTCCGTCACAATATTGTTGCCCAAAATGTTGTCCAAAATGGAAGCCCCCTCGAGCCTCTCTTGCACACGTCTGCCGCAGCGGACGCTAGGAGACATCGAAGCCAGTACCAGGCCATGTGACCTTCCCGTGACCTTCGAGACGAGGCGTAGTCACGTATTACGTCCTCATATTTGAATTGGCTGGGATGGCTTGTATTGCCCCACTGCGGGTGGACTTAAAGGCCGACGTACACTTCGCGCTTTCCACTTTTGACCGCTCCTCCCCCATTTTCTATATCTTCTCCCCTTTTTGCGTTGCCCCGACTTGGCTCCGCTAGCAGCTTAAGAGAAGGGAGCGCAAAGTGGATTATCTTCACTGTAGAAAGGCGAGGTTGCACGTCGGCCTTTAAGGTGAAAGGGAGTACTGGCGAGACTGGTTATACCGAAATAGCGGCTACAGCGAAGCGATAACAATTTCCCATCATTTTTGCACTTCGTTATTACCAAAGTCGGTTATAACAAATGCGGATATAGCGAAGTGATTTCCGATTCCCGTTGACTTTGTTATAACTGGTCACGGCAGTACAGACTCGCTTGATGTCTCAGTAATTGACCTGCTCACGCGCCAGTAGATTTACAAGCATTTTATCAGAGTTGATAGAGCGAAGGACGGTGGTTGCCAGCTGGGCGCCATCAACGTTTACAACTCCTTGCGTTCATTGTTTTCAAATCTACCGGACGGTCATGGGTACGAGCATAAACGTGTTGACGATCATGCAGACAACGCTGGGCTCGCAGCGCTTCAGGTCCGAGAGTGCGATGAACTCCGGCTTGCGGGGCTTGACGCGCTCGAATATCTCGTGCGCTACCTCGGCGAACTCGCAGCAGGGGAAGTGGACCTCGACGATGCGCCGCTTGTCCTCGTAGAGGTATTGCATGTCGTAAACGGTGACGAAGCCGTCCCCGTCAAAGTCCAAGCAGTGGAACCAGAACTCGACGCTCTTGGGTAGGCCCTTGTTGGACTCGACGGCGTGGAAGATGACGAAGTCCTGCAGCGTCATCATCGGACGCCCATTGAACCTGCAGGAAGGAAGGCATTCCTGTTAATCTTCGCGCAAATCGTTTTTTTTTTTTTTTTGGGGGGTGGGGGGGGGGAGGGGGGGCGGCGCAATGGCCACCGGCGAGAGCTGCTATCCGTTTATGCAGGCGCTTATCCAGTGTTACCAATCTGGGGGCGGGAGGTTACAAATTTGTGAGAGGTGTCCGGGGGGTTTAATATCACAGGCTTGTGTAATTTGTGTAGAAAATGATAGGAGAAGGGGGTGATTAGACCCAACCTTGGTGGGGGGGGGGGGGGCGTATAACTGACAACGTTCACCACAAGTGTTTCAACGTTTGATGCGATTCTTCGTTTCTTTTGTGACGTGCCACGTGAGACGCATGTAGCTGTTGGTGGCCATCATCGATAAACAAACAAGCTAGAAGTACGGTGGGAGGCACGAGCTCGCCAGACTAATCAGTTTCCCTTCAGTATGTAACTGTGCTCTCTGCGCGTGGATATGGGCGGGAGAGTTTTCACGTGGTGAAAGTGGCATGACTTCATTGCCTAACGATCGTGTAACTTCTACCGCCGCGTCAGATTAAGGGTGAATGGAGTATAGGAAGTGACAAGTAAGCCTAACACTCTTAGAAGACTCTTTCTCACACCATTGATACATTCCTAAAATGTCTATAACATGGTACGGTTCTTCAGAGGAAAAAAAAAACATGTATGCAAGCCAGCACAAATATCATCATCGCCATCTGTTCTCATAAAAAAACGAGAACAATGATGTCGCGTTTACAAAAATACAAATAATTTCATCAGTAACTGTCTCGCGGTCTCGAAGTTATGATGAACAATAAAATAATGAAACCGTAAAGCCTAGTGCATATAGTTGGGTTTGACTGCGTTTGACTGCCTTGATGCTGCGAGGAACCAGGACATACCTGCTGCTGATATCGCGTGCCAAGATGATTCCTTGAATTGGATTCCACGCTTCATGCGAAGCACATATGTGTCGGTGATTCGGTTTCGGTTCTTGACGCAACGCAGTCAAACGCACTCAAACAGAAGTGTCTGAACCGGCCTTAAGAGAGTGCACTAGATCAAGATTTCGGCAGTGAGAGGCAAGCAAAATAAAACATATCGTATGCGAATGCCATTCAAGGTTGGCCAGTGCTTTTATTCGGGAAGTAAAAACTCCGACAGGAGCAAAGCTATGTCGAGGTTTTCAAGTATTCCATGTGCGTGCCCAGGCACCGCTTCCGTCGTTTTGGCGACTTCCTAAATCGCGTAAAAAAAAATCGGGTTCCGTTACTGCGGTCGGTACGCGCACTGTTTATTTCCTGTCGCCCTTCGCCAAACTATTGAAAACGTTCGTACATTCGGGTCCCTTTAATCCGTATAGTATGCTTACAATCCTCCCAAAATTTCGGCTGGTTTACCTTTTCCTAGACCAGGAGTTTAGGACGCACCGCTGCTCCACAGCTTCGGACATATCGCTTGTCACCATAATGGCGTATTTGATGGGCATGCGTAAGTACGACATTTTCGACACGGGACATTCGAAAAAGGATTACATCAAAGCGGTGGCGCAACGATATTTAGTTGAAATGTTTTTTTTTTTGTTTTTTTGGTTTTAATCACTCGAGCTTACCGGTACCAGGATCAACGCGCTGCTCTTATGTCAGGTCGCTACGGTGGCGCTGCTGTCCGTGCGGTGCGTCCCCAGATACTTCACCTCACTTGAATTTATTTTTTTACGCACGCGCAGTTGCCCACATCTTGTGTGGGAAAATGGCCGACGGGTGTTTGGAAGCAGTGTGTTGGTCTACACTTGCAGGCGACGCCGTTGAGCAGGAAACATTTTTGTTGCGGTGTCATTTCATAAGTAAAAGAGAACGTCCTTTTTGTTTTTAATCGCTTGCTTCTTCGGAAAACATGATGACCTAGCTCGGTGGTCGCAGTGTTTGGCATAGTCCCCAGAGTGACAATATTTGAATGCGGTGAATAGATTGAACCCGAGCATTGGATGAACACTGGCTGTGATAAACGTGACCAACTACCCCAAGGCTCCTGCTCACGGGGACGCATGTTCTGGCTACGAGTTAAAAGGGTAAACCTCCTCGTTTTTTTTTTTACTTTTATTTTACTATTACTGTGTGGGGAGAACAACTGAAGCAGTTTTTTATAGGCAAATACTTATAAATACCAGTCCTTCATCGTAAGCGTTATTTGCACGAAATACAAAACAATGGTTGCACCGCCTCTTCAACTGGATTCATAACGTTCGTTATGTTACGTCTATCCAGCTGTCTTATTAGTATGGTCAACCTTGAGCAACCCATTGTGCGTCGTTAATTGTTTCTAATGTCTCGCTTCATTGTTATGGAAGACGAATCGAGATATTCTAGGAATTAGTGTACCATGATGAAACTTCCGAAGGAAGTTGACGTAATCATTCTTGAATAGATAGAAACGACCAATGAAAACATTCAGGATATGTTAACCAATATTGAGGAATCCACCTTTCAAAATGTATCTTGCCCAGCACCGGAACAAGACCCCCGATAGAATTATTCACTTGCGAGGGTCTTTGAAGGTTGACAAGGATCTTTTGACTCTAATGACTCGCTTAACAAATGTAGCATGTTGAAACTTGCGGATTACGTTAATGTAGTCCTCCTTTGATTTCCCACTCCAGAAACGACGTATTTGACGCATTCGCAGCAGTTCGAGCTATCATGGCGGCTAGCAGTACGTCTGTAGTTGTGGTGCAGCGGTCTTGAATCAAAGTGTTAATGAAGGAGAAAGTCAGACTGGCTGAATGTTGAGAAGGTCGTAAACGCAGGATAGGGAACAGAGAGTGTCACGGACAAGATTGCATGTGTGGTGTCAAGGGTTTGGCGAAAGACGACAGCCGGTGACAAATAAAACTCACAGACGCATTCGCCCGACTGCAGGCATGCAGCCCAGTTCTTTTTCCTTCTTCTATGCCACGGGGATTATGGAGCTGTCAAAACAGCTGGTGGCAGCGGTACCAGGACACGCGCGGAAAGATTAAAAAAAAGGAGAACAAAAACAAATGCGTAATAATAACGTGATTGTCGTTTTTTTTCTCTTTTTTTTTTGCATTAGAACAAAAGTATTTGTCCACTTTGAACCGTCCTTGTGGATCAATCCACAAAGGGTTCTCGGGGCAACTTTGTTATGTTCAACTACAACACCATCTACGTAGATCCATGCATTTCGGCGGATTCGGTGGCATAAAAGAGGGAAAGGGCGTCGCCCGATCTCGATACCAAAGGCAAACCTGCCGTTCTCAACGTTTAGGCAGCTCCGGTGGGCTGCACCGTTGGAACTGTTCAAACGTCGAATCTCCACTTTATTCTCGCCCAAGTGGAACACGTTGTTTAGAAAAAGCCTGCTTCGCCAACAGCAGCGCCACCACGACAGTGGCGTGACCTCCAAGGGTCGAGCTGGTGACCTGAACCGTACGCGTCTGAACATATAACCACCGCGTTCAGCGAGGCGACGTGCTTCGAAGCTTGCCCAGGCGTCAACTGACCTCTTGACGACCGCCGAGCAGAGGATCCGCTCGAGACCGCGGTTGGTGAAAGCTCCACCTTGGAAGTTTCTGAGCTCTTCGGCGCTCAGCATGCCATCCCGGTCGCGGTCCAGGCCCTCGAACATGGCGTACGTCATATAGAAGGAGCCGAAGCTGAAAGCGTCCATGCTCGTGTCCAGCTCCGAAGACTCTTCCATCCAACGAAGGGAACTCAGCAGGTGGCTGTTCCTGCGGGTACAAGAGCAAACACAAGGAATGGACTGATAGTTCTGCTACTGTTTGGTTTTTGAGATATGAACTCAATATTTTTTTGAACCAAACACTTGTGGTGTTCGGGGAGCACTGATTGCCACTCAATGACGCAACGGGTCCTGGTCTACAAATGATGACTACCAGGAACGCTGCGTGTAACTATATGGTTGCTGCGAAGCGTTTTCGACTGGTGTTATCACATTCTCATTTGTGCTTCTTCGACTTCTGCTTGACGACATTATAGAAGCGTCATGTCGTTATCTGCTGTGATCTTGGCGGTGGCATAAAGGGAGGTTCGCAAATTTGCTTTTCTGTTGCAGTTCTTTCTGCAGCCAGAAAATTGTGAAAGCGAAGCAGACATCGCTGGAACGCTGCGACAAAAGCAACACTTTCGCTCGCTTATCTTATTTTTCTTGCGCTCTCAGAACGTTCCGAGACCTCGATCGATGCATGTGCTTTTTATTCTAACATGCTCGACGGATCAGTCGAAGAACCGCACTATGAATTTGTCTAATAAAATTCGGTAAAGGCCAGCACGTGACAGTGATAGCGATCATATAATGAGGTCACCATATTTTTGGTATTGAATGCTATACCCTGTTCACCCTTAAGCTGAGACTGCAGCCAAAGCTACAAGCGCGATCTAACCTACGCCCCTGGCTTTGAGACGTGCACTTCTAGCAAGAGTGCTTTTCTGCGGAAGAACTTTCCCATGCAGCGACCTCGAGCTCTCGTGCTTGTGGCATTGGCTGCAATCTCAACTTAAAGGGGCGAAGCAACAATTTTTTTACTTTCCGCAAATACCGCTTAGAACAGATCCCTGGCGTTAATGACCTATGAAACACGCGTTTGTTTTTACTTCACGTAATAGAAGTCCCAGAAAAAAATTAAATAAAAACGAGCAGCGTTCACCCCCTGAACTCGCAGCCAGAACAAGCGGCCACGCGATCTGGAGCCGATTATATGCCGCCAATGTTGATCATAGCCACGCGCTGGGGTTGGCAAAGCCCAGGACACGCGCTGAGTTCCAGACATTGTTATAGCTCGGCTATTGTCGTCGTTGCAGCGATTGGACGCGGGCGACTACCCGAACGCTTCTCGAGCTAGTAATTATCACGAGCCCAAATCGAGTGCCCACGTAGGGATCGGGTCCAATCTGTGAACCGCATTCAAATATCGTCACTTGGGTGAAGTGACGATATTTTCCAAAGGAAGAAATTGGACAAGCCAACCTGAAGTCTCTGATGCTCAGCATGTTCTTCCACGAATGCGAAGCCATGAAGAAGTACTTCGTGAGCGCGGTACTGACGAAGGGCTCCAGGAACTGGGGCGTTTGCTTTAGGAACATCATGTCTGGGTGCATTTGAAAGAAGTCCTCGAAGAGCGGACGCAGGTCTTCGAGGGTCAGGTAGTCCCGGTCCCGTGCTAGGACGTGCACGGCGCGGGAGCTCTCCTCCGGAAAGTTGGCCACGAGGTGACTGTAATACCTGCAAGAGAGAAATGCTTCCGATGCTCCACATTGAGAACAAATACGTTACTATGGTTACTGACCGCTTAAGAAACGCCCCAAGCATCTTATTATCACTCAGCAGCCAATTAGGTTCCATTATTAGTTTAAGAACGAATCACGAAGCAAGAGGCGTGATAATTTTCATTAGGTGGGGACAGCTCGCTTCCGAGAGAAATCATATGCACAGCGCTCTCCACGCTGTCAAGCTTTTGTTCTGCGCCAAGTAAGAGGGCTGCACCGCTGACGCACCGAGATACCGGATTCGCCAAGGCAGCAGAGACGGCTGTTTATACTTTTTTCGGAGGCTATCCACGACGATAGATGGCGGCAGTCATCTATCGTCGTGGATAGACTGCGTTTTCTCCCAATTCGATGCAGAAAACCTCGTGGATATGCGCGTCCAGCGTTCCTACTACGCAAGAGCTGTCGGAGACAAGGCCTTTATACTTTCGCGGAGTAAAATGTATTCTTTTATAAAGTATTTGTTTAGAACTCTGTGTTCATATGGCCTCTGTAAGCACGCAGGTTCAACACCTTACTTTTGTTTGCACGTAGATTCGTGCAAACAAACCCGATAACGGCGGGAAAAAGAGCCGCTTATGCTTCGCTACAGAAAAGAGAGTCATAGGAGGTTGTGGATAAGAATTTCTCTGTTGGAGGCATGCGTTGAGCGGAAGCTCGTCCTGAATACTCCAAGGATGCTGGGCCAACACCCCCCTCCCTCCGCTCCGCGGTCGGTTTTTATGAGAACGGATATAGTATCGGCGTGCGCTTCACCACTCACTGTATGATGCACGTCGAAGACAAAAGATGGGCAGTCCTAATCAGTGTTGCGGAATGGGCTCTTTATTTCATTCACTCTGCATTTCGGGCAATTAGAGTTTCTGGCAATTGTATTTGTTGCAAATCCTAGGAATGGATACCGACGGTCCCCCTTTCCCCCCCCCCCCCCTACCATTCTAATCCTCTAATTCCTTAACTTGAAAAATTAACTCTTTAAAGCAACAATGTTTTACCGAAAAAAATCTGCATAAAGTTGATTTTTTCAAACGCAGAGACAACTCCAAAGATATGCAAAATGAGTCGCTAACGCTGCCTAGAGCACTCATTCTACTAAGCCGAGTGGTGGTCGCACGGAGTACTTCGAGGACTTGGAGGTACCGTAGACATCGACGGTGGGATATAGCGTAAAAGGCTCGCAACACAGGTCAAAAATCGAAACCCCCCATTTTCTGCATAAATGAACCATATGACCTCTGCTTCTAGGAGATACATGAGTAGTGTGTTGTTTATTTGACAAGGACTTAAGGCTGCGGTCCCACGGCAGCCATCTTGAACAAGGCGTTAGTTCAACCAATAGATGGCGACACGCACCCGTGGGGTGGCCGAAACATTGGTTCACAGTGGGATGGCTCGAGCACCATCACGTTCCCCTCGTGGCCTTGCTCGCGCCGCTGCCAGCTGTGCTGGCTCTGCTCAGCTAACTCAAGTAGCGTGGCCCAGCAAACGGATGTATGCGAGAATGTCAGGCTGGGTATAAATTGTTCTCTGATATAGGGACATGCGGTTCGGCGGTTGTAACGGCCTTTCGCGATAAATCTTACCAAGAAGGAATCAAATGTTAATTGACGTGTCAATATTCTATCAATGAAAATTTCCTCTGCAGGAATGCACGCTCAGTAGACTCAATCTTCCAAGACACCAATGGAAACGGACGTTAACGCGATTTACGGTACTTAACTTACCATTTTGATGACGACTAAAATAACGTCACGAAATATTGTGTTTCACGGGGTCCGGAAGATGTTGTTAAGGTTGTTACATTATAGGGTTCCCAGAAACTTTCTGGAAAGACTCGAAGTCTTCCTTGAGTCCAACGCCATCATGAACAGAAACTGAAAACGATCCACTATTCAGTCGGTGGGTGGCGAAACGTATCCGCATCTGCGGAGTCATGGTCGATGCGTACTCTAAGTGGCTGGAAGTTTACACGATGCCTGCCACGACGTCCAAACATGTCATTGACGTTCTACGGTCTCTTTTACCTACTTTTGCCCTACCGGAAATACTTTTCTCTGATAACGTGCCAAATCTTGCTTCAAATAAAATAAACAAGTTTTTGAAGAAAAAAAAAAAGAAAAACCGGCATCAGGCATTACATTAGTGCACCATACCATCCTGCAACTAACGGGCATGCAGAACAGATGGTGTGCGAAACTGAAAAATGCCTTTTTGAAGCTTACGGAAGAAGCAGTTCAGTGAAGAATCGCCAGGTTCTTGTTCCAGCAGCACGCGACGGTCTCATATTACACGGTAAAAACACCCGCCGAAGCAATATTCCGCGGACAAAGAGCGACTCCCCTCGATTTCGTGATACTATGGCCTACGAACGAAGATCGAGAGATTCCCAGATCGGGAGTAATGGCAGTTTATTCGGTCGGAGAACTCGTCTACGTGAGGAATTTCAGCGGAAGTCGGGCCTTCCATGTAAAACTTGAGTAGAAAAGGCTCTATGTTGGTTGACCAGAAGGTGTCATCCCTCTGAATACGTTAGATATCAATGCCCTTGAGTCTAAATATAACAAAATCACAAAACTCTCTTTGTGTATTGTGTAACTGCTTTTGTATTTGATAGTAGAAGCTATGGTGGTGATTTGGACCTTTTACAACAGGCTCCTATTTCTTATTTTTCGCCTCATACTCCTTTGAGGTTTAAGTATGCTTCAAGAATCTTTTGGAACGGGGACACTTTACGTCAACGAGGCCATTTGTTCCAAGTAGTCAATCAGGGAACGCTGCTAGAAATCCGTTCCTCATATTAACGAATAAACCGCACTTCTGCACAGTGCAGTTTTCCTGTTCCACGTACAGTTGTAAAGCAGCATCCTTATTGATTCTACCATATTCTGTTGTGGGTGAAGAAAGTCTTTGGGTACACTACACTTGAAACAAGTCTGGCACTGTACATTGCGGTTCGACACCCACTAAAATCGTCGTCCTTATAGAGCCTCATCATTTAATCATTACCTCGTCACCTCATATTGCTCTTCATCAACAGTAAGTACAATAGGCTGCCGCCATGTTACAATCCATGAATTGAAAAATTCAGTCGATCGTTCAGTCCTTCAACAAATTTATTATTTATATAATGTTATTGCGTTACATTACCTCGAGACCTTCGACGTCCATCGTCCATCTTCAAATACTTATAGCTGTATATAAATTAGACGCACAAAAGGGGGGGGAGGAGGGGGGGGGGGGGGAGTCGGTGGCTAAAGGCATGGTCTAGCGGACACCAGCTTGGAGCGCTTGGAGCCGAAAGCTCGCGCTG